AATCCATAGGCTGCTGCCCTCCCCAGCCTCACTCCCCTAATCTATATGCTGCTGCCCCCCCCCCCACTCCCCAATTTATCTCTCTCTCCCCCCCATCTAACTCCCCCTATAGGCTATCTCAAACCCTCCCCCCATCCCTCACTTACCTGATCTGTAGGCTGTCTCTGGCTGCATGTGTTGCTCCCCTGCGGTTTCAATCAGCAGAGAGAAGCAGGGAGAGATGCAGCTTCTTATCCCTGTCTCTCTCCATACACAGTGGCCGGCGCTGGTATTGCAGTTCATTTTCAATCTCACTAAAAATAGCAGAACAGGCTGAAAAAGTGCCCCCCCTTGCCCCCCCCCTGCGGACGCCCATGGTCCTGTTTCTTACTGGTTGTTAAGCTCAGCTGAGTCCTCTCTTTGAGCTGCATTGGAAAGTCTGTGATTGGACAGCCACAGGAACTGTCTGAGGAAAAAGTGTGGGGCTTGCAAAAGCTGCAGGCAAGAGATTTGCTGCTTTTATAAACTGTTTTTAGATGTATCCCAATGCAAAAAAATCTGTAATTTAATGCACACAATGCTATATCTACTAAATAATTATTTTGTATTATGGCAGTGGGGTGTCCCTTTAAGTGTATATAAATCTATTTGGGGCCCATTATAACTGCCTCTTGGAAGGCCTATTCTGCCTAACCACGGTTTAATGGGATTTCAGAGCACCAAGGCTAATTGGGATATCTGTAACATTATTAGCTTTACCCCTTTATAGGTTCCTCTCCTTGATGCATGCAGAATATATTGTAATTATCCCCTAAGCAATTGTCCTCTCTCTTCTGTCCTTTCCAGGTGGAATATTTTGGAGAGATCTCCATTGGTTCCCCTCCACAGAACTTCCTGGTTGTGTTTGACACTGGCTCATCCAACTTATGGGTTCCATCTATAAGTTGCCAAAGTCTAGCATGTGGTAAGACATGCGTGCTATTATCTGTTAGAAGATATACAGTATTTATCATAAGTCCTAACAACAGGGGAACAATCTTTAGTGTTAATAAAAGTAGCAGTTTTCAATACTCATGGAAAATGGATAATAAAAGGAAATCACTCCCACAAATCTGCTCCCACAGGGCATGTTTCTTTCCCTCTCAGGTATGCTTAGTATAGGACTACAGAGTTATGTCCTCCTTCATACAACAGGACAAAATACATTCGGTTTCTCCTCTAGACATATTCCTAAACTGTAGAGGAAGGATATTCAGTTTTATTTTTTCTGAACCTGTTTGCCATCTGGTGGCTTTTTAGCCACCACAAAGGGCGAAAATGTCTCATCTCCGACCTAAATTATCCATGTCTGTGGATATGAAAGCTATTTTAGATCAGAGATGGGGCATTTTACCATTTGAAATTGCCATTGCCATTTCAGTGCAAGCTTATTTTAGTAGTGGGCCATATATATTATGCCTCCATTTTGGGGTTAATGGAATGATTATCTTTATTTTCTTTCAAAGTATTTTAGTTTTTTGCAAGAAAATATAGAGGTACAGAAAGTGAGTCGCATTATTAGACACACAACAAACATAGTTTCCAAATCATATCAGGACATGACACAAAGCATCATAAATATTCATTTTACATTCTAATGATTTCCAATGTAAGCTTGGAATCCCCATTCCCCAAAATAGTTGTGTCTCGGAAGGGTGGTCATTTTAATCCGTTGCTTCTTCCTTCTCCCATTAATGTTCTTTTTAACCTTACTAAAGAAGGACTGGGATATATATTGGGATATATTGCACAATAAATTCAATAATTTGGGTAATAAAGACATCTAAAGATCTATCACCCTGCCCACAACAATATTTAAAATGTGCTCCACCCACTTGTTCTGGAAATGATGCTTTTTCTAATGGGTTCTAGTAAGGGAAATATACAGGAACAATATCTTTTTTTTAAGTTATAAGAGGATTTGAGAAGGAACTAAGGTCAGGCAGGATACTGCAATACATAGGGTGGGCTTGCATTTTTTCAATATTTCTTGGCACTAAAATAGTCTAGTTTCCGATGAAGATATGTCATGGCACAGCCCGAACCTTGCAGACAGCAAGACCACCCCTTTAAGAGACCTGGCTGAGTTTGAACTCACAGCTCCAGCATCAAAGTTAGGTTCTCTGCCGTGCTGTCCACCCAGCTTCAGTATCTGACTGCATTATTCTGCTTCCTGACTCCTTGCCTGGATGGAGCAGTGCTGATCCACCTGCAGCCCCTTTCCAATTAGGGTAAGCTGCTCCTAATCAGCAGGCTGTAAAATCCAGCTCTGCCTGAGATCTAGTAT